ATTGGCTGACTCCAGTTTCGCTACCCCGCCCATGTCCCCTCACGCGCGCACCGGGCCCTCTCTCCGTTCTGAGCCGGCTGATCGCTTCCCTGCCAATCACACTCCAGCCCCGCCCAACGCGTCACCACGCCCCCAGGATTCCTCCAGAGGGCGGCAGGTCTCACCCCACCAAATCTCCCAGGTCTCTCATTGGCTGCAGTGGTCCTCACGACTGCGGGAGACTGCGCTCCGATTGGCCAGGGAGACCCAGCCGCGTTTGGGCTCGGGATCTAGGAGGGAATGGGGTTTGAGAAGCCACTAGTGAATGGGAACATGGTAGTAAAAAGTGGGCGTAGAGTCTTGGTTTTATTTTCACCTCTGTACTAAATACTTCTGTATCACTGTTAAATATTCTGTCATTGTTCCCATAAACTTTTCCGAATAAAGGCTTGCATCTGCCATTTCTATGTCTCCTTCACGGAGCATCTTCCCTCCAGTTACATGTACTTATTGTGGACCTTCTAAATGCTCCCTCTCGTCCTGAGCATTAAACAACAATGCTCCCAAGGTCTTGGAGTTCAAGGCAAATAACTTCATGGACTCAAATAACTGTAATACACAGTGGCATAAGAGCTGTAATGATGTAATGTAATGAGAAATAGAGGAACATAGAGGAACACAGCTTGATGAATAAGTAGTTTGGGGAAGGGACTCCATGTTTAACCGGACCTTAAAGGACAATAGAGATTTTTGTTTTACTCTCTTTGTTTAAATTTACGTTTTCGGTGGGGGTAGGTGGGGTGCGAGGGGACACAAAAGTTGTGGTCTTGGTAGAGATAAAGAAAACTACCTCAGCAAAATTCCACAAGGTAAGCATGGGAGATTGTGTAATGCAATAGAGTGCTTCACACTTCCTCTCTCATCCATCAAGAGTTTTTGTTTCCTTTTCTGGCATGGATCTGGGTTTTTATAAAACACCTAAAAGTTTTCTTAGCCAGTAGGGACTGCTGATTCAAGACTTGAGACTTTTTTAAAAGGCAGAAATTTAAGGGTAATAATTGTAAGGATCAACAGTTCAACATATCTTGAAGCTAACGTAATAATTTTATAATATTTAGTTTCGGAGCCTTATCTCTCCCTGCCCAACGCCCCCCCCCTTTTTCCACCCTCGTATCAGAATATTTAAGTATAACCCTAAGGCTGATACTGTTCTTTATAAACTGTCAACTGTCTAGCAGAATGCAGCCATGTGAGTTGAGCAGGCACATTTTGTTTTAATTGAATTTGATACCCTTGGCTGAGGCTGCCTGTCCAGTTCAATGAAATCCCACCACTTCTTTGTCTCAACATCTCCCTCTAGCCAAAGTCTTCACATGCAGTATAGCCCCAAATGCATATATCCCGATTCATCGTTGCTCACCAACTAAGGGCCCTCAAGATATTCATGCTCCTTAGAATAGGGCAGAAGGAGGAGAAGAGAGCTATTAACCAATAATACAAGGGTGCCTGCTGGCTCAGTCAGTAGAGTGGGCGACTCTTGAGGGTTGTAAGTTTGAGCCCCACATTAGATGTAGAGATTACTTACAAATAAAATCTTAGGGGCACCTGGATGGCTCAGGGGGACTCTTGATTTCGGCTTAGGTTGTGATCTCGGGTGGAGGGATGAGCCCTGTGTCAGACTGGGCGCTCAGCGGGGAGGCTGCTTAAGGATTCTCTGTCTCCCTCTGCCCCTCCCCCTGCTGGTGCATGCACGCGCTCACGCGCTCTCTCTCTCTCTCTCTAATAAATAAATAAATCTTTAAAAAATAAAATAAAATCTTAAAAAAATAAACTAATAATATGTATTTGTGTTGCATTTATATGTATGTCTATGCCCCCCAGTAGAACTTACGATTATTGGGAACACTATGCTGTGAATCCATAGGACCTAGAACACTTCGTGGAACCCTGAGATACTCAATAAACATCTGACAAATAAATGGAAGTGAAGATTCATTCATTCAACAGATATTGCTGTACAAGAAACTGAGCTAGGTAGGTATTGGATATACAATAATGAGCCAATGGTCAATTCTTAGTCCTCATCCTGTTGTACCATTCAATGATGAGTGGCCTCTGTTTTCCTTACCAGCTGCTCCTTCTCAGATGCTCCTTCCCATCCTTTGATGGATGGCCCCTCCTAATGCTGGCCTCTATATGTTCCAGTGCCCTTGGGCTCAGACCCCTGCTCTCTTTACTTCTCTACACAGTCTCCCTACATGATTTTATCCAGTCCCGTGGTTTTAAATATCAACTGTAAGTTGATGAATTCCAAATATCTCTGGCCAGGCTCAACTTTTGCTCAGAGGTGTGCATAAATACATAATCTCTACCTAACTACTCAACATCTCCATTAAGATGTAAAATAAACATCTCAAGTGAAACATGTTCAAAACAGACTCTACCCCCTCAAACACACACACACACACACACTTCTCTGCTTCTAATCTGTTAAAAGTATCACTATTTACCAGCTTTCTAAGGTTTAAAACCTAGGGGTCAGCCTTGATTTTTTTCTTTCCATTACATTCCCATATTCAGTTCTTGAGCAAGTCTTGTTCACACTACCTCCAAAATATATCTTGACTGACCACTTCTCCCCACTTCTGCTACTACCAACCTAATCCAAATCACAAGGATTTCTTACCTGGAATATGGCAATAGCCTCCTCACTGGTCTCCCAGAAACTGTCTTGAGGTTTGTTCTCCATGATGCAACTTGAGTGGTTGTTGTTGTTTGTTTGTTTGTATTTTAAGTAAATTAGATATCATTTCTTCTGCTCAAATCCCTTCAAGGACTTTATAAATCAGATTAAGAACAAAATCCTCCAAGACTAGTTTATCTTCCCCGACCTCTCCAGCAGCATCAACAACTCCTGTGCTCACTTGATTCCAGCCACATGTCTTGCAGTTCCTGAAATAAGTCAAGTTCATTCCAATCTCAGAGCAATTCTATTTCCTGTTCCTTTTCCAGAACCTCTTACCCTCTGCCTCCCAAGTCTCACTCCTTTATATTATTTGGGCTTCTGTGCACACGTTCTCCCACTTAGAGTGGTTTTCTCTGATGGACCTACATAAATAGACCAAATCGCCTCTTCTCCTTTGCCCTAATTTACTTTCCTTATAACCCTTAATGCCTTCAAACTGTTTGATTATTTGGTTTTTGTCCATCTTCCCAATAGAATGTAAGTTCATGAGGACAGTGACATTTTCTTGTATCTTCACCTAAGATGTGCACCTAAGAATAACTGACACTTAGTAGGTATGCAATAAATACTCGTTGAATAAATGAATGATGAATAAGTGAAAATAGTCTAGCTAGAGAGGCAGACATTAAGCACATCCAACTAGTTATATGATAAAAATTGTAATGAGTACAAAGAAGAAAAGAATAGGGGTTAAGAGAAGAAGATAAAGGGAGGACCTAATTTAGATGGGAAAAGGGGACTGCCCTGAAAAGCCTTTCTAAGGAAGTGACATTTGAGCTGGGATCTAAGGCTAAGTAGAAATCAATCTGGCAGAGTAGGACGGGGTAGAGGAAAGGAGAGAGCAACAAATACTCACTGAGGGTTTGTTGTGATTTTGAAGAACACACACACACACACATCACACACACACACATGCCTCTAGCACCTACCATAGCATCTGCCATAAAAATAAACCGACAACAAAAAATAGCTGTTGATTTTGGATTTTTTTTAATGAATAATGACAGGTACCATTGAAATGGACTTTCTACTGTTCTTAGAATTCGTATCGAGTATGGTATTTTTGCTCAAGGAATATTGATTGAAACCACCTCATTTTGGTACCCATTTTTTCCTATCAGGTCTGAACAGTACCCTTGCAATTAATAAGAATAATCTTTATTAAGAATGCACACATATGGGGCGCCTGGGTGGCTCAGTCGTTAAGCATCTGCCTTTGGCTCAGGTCATGATCCAGAGGTCCTGAGATCAAACCCTGCATCAGGCTCCCTGCTCGGCAGGAAGCCTGCTTCTCCCTCTTCTACTCCCCCTGCTTGCGTTCCCTCTCTCACTGTGTCTGTCTCTGGGTCAAATAAATAAATAATTTTTTTTTTAAAAAAAGAATACACACATATATTTACTAAAAGAAAAAGACAGTAGCATCACAGGGTGAAGTGTCTGTGCCAGAGAAAGCCCTTTGAGGTCCAGAGGGCTATATACTTTTGGAACTGAACAGCAATCTTTTGTCTTTGGAGAAATTTTATGAACCACTTAAAAGCTCTAATGCAGGGGCACCTGGGTGGCTCGTTGGCTGAGTGTCTGACTTCAGCTCATGTCACGATCTCAGGGTCCTGGGATCGCACCCTTTCTTCCTCTCCCTCTCTTCATGCCCCTCCCCCAATTTGAGCTCTCTCAAAAAATAAATAAAATCTTTCTAAAAAAATTTTTAAATTTTTTTAAAAAAACCTTCTAATGCATACAGGCACCTACAATGATGGTCTACTCCTATTCAGCAGTATTCTGTGCTAAAATTTAACATACAGACCAGGGTTCCCAGGGATTGGCAGACATCCTAACCAAACATATGAAACCATTAATAACTCTCCAAAGAGGAAGCAATACTATAAAACTTTGGGCTTTGGTGTCAGGTAAATCTGGAACCAGATCTCAACTCTACCTCTTATTAGCTCTATGATCGTGTATGGATTTAGCTACTAAGCATTCAAATTTCACAACAGTAAAATTGGACAATACTATATAAGCATTTAGCAGTGATTGGCAGAAAGGCGTTAAGTGTTCAGTGAGAAAAATGAGGCCTAAAATATCTAAGTAACTTTCCTATGGACATATAGAGAGTAAGTGGCAGAACTGGGATTTCAGCTAAAAAGGTGTGGTTATGAAATCATGTCTCAATAACTAGCTCAGAAAGGCAGCATAAAAAATGATTAACAGAGAGGTGAAGAGTCCCTGGAAATAGCTGGTTGTTATACAAGTAGCATACTCAGACACAACCACATTAAATTTCGGTCTCATTTATTTAAAAGATTTAGAGTTCAGAACAGTCTTTAATATGGAAAAATGTGAATCAACAATATTGCATCATATTAGCATACAGATGGTCTCATTTAATTTCAAATTCATTTTCAGTATTTCTGTAAATTGAGTTTCAGATCAGATTTTCATGATGGAATCAGGAGTAGCTCAATATAATGAAAGAAAATTCCATAACTAGGGAATTTCATAGAAGCTAGGAATTTTTAAGAATACCGTTACAAAAGAGCCGAATCCTTCATTTGGCTACATAATAAAACTTATGTATTTTTAACAGTTCTGTCTTCTCCTAGCTCATCTTCATTTAAACATAGCTCAAAACATTGTACTTAATCTCTCCTTTAAGTTCAGTTGAGAAGGTGTTCAGTCCTGGAATCAAAAAAAAAAAAAAACAACCATGATTAACAAACAGGTTTAAAAGAAACTGAAATTTTTGGCATTAGAAATCAAGTTTCCATGAGTGCCTGGGTGGCTCAGTCAGTTAAGTGTCTGCCTTCAGCTCAGGTCATGATTCCAGGGACCTGGGATCGAGTCCCACATCAGGGAGTCTGCTTCTCCCTCTGCCCCTCCACCACCCTACCCCCCCGGCTCATGTGTGCTCTTTCTCTTTCTCTCTCCCAAAAATAAATAAATAAAATCTTCAAAAAAAAAAAAAGAAATCAGGAGGTTTCCAAAAAATTAATATTTATTTAACAAACAATATTACCATTTAATTTCTTTCACAAATAATATTACCAAAAGACATGCACATGAACATTTACTCTGCTTCGTTATTGCATTAGCATTTTAAAAGTTGACTTCACATACATTATCCCATTCAAAGATCCCAGTAGCAGTGCCATTTTCCAACATGGAAACAAACTCTTGAAGATGGGACTCTTGCCTAAGAAAACTAAAACCAGTCGTTTTGAAACAAGTGATCAAAAAACATGTTTTAATATTTTATTTTTTAGTTTCAAAAGATCACAGAGGTATATAAAGTGAAAAAGTATCCCACCCCATTTCTGATCCCCACAAATGACAGCTGGTAATTTGGAGTGCCTTCTTCCATTTCTTTTTCTATGTAAATATAAAGCTATACGATATAGACAACATACATACACTTTTTTTTTTAAGTAAAAACTGTGATCATACAAACAATCCAACAACCCTCTTTCTCCATCCATTCAATACACCATTAAAAATACCATGGTGAGTAGTGGCTGGCCTGCTCAGTCGGAAGAGCATGAGACTCTTTTTTTTTTTTTTTTTTTAAGATTTTTATCTATTTATTTGACACAGAGAGAGAGACAGCAAGAGAGGGAACACGAGCAGGGGGAGTGGGAAAAGGAGAAGCAGGCTGAGCAGGGAGCCTGATGCAGCATTCAATCCCAGGACCCTGAGATCATGACCCGAGCGGAAGGCAGACGCTTAACGACTGAGCCACCCAGGCACCCCGAGCATGGGACTCTTGATCTTCAGGTTGTGAGTTTGATCCCCACATTGGGTGTAGAGATTCTTTAAATAATAAATGAATACTTAAAATTACCATGGTGAAACCTTGACATATCAATATTGTGCATGAACCAGATTTCTTTATTGCACCAACAGATCTATTAATCATTCCAACAACCTTACCCAAAATACTCTTTCATTTAAAAAAAAAAATTAGTGCCATGGTGAACAAATCAATTTAGCACTAGGTGAAAGGGAAAGAAAATCATATATTTTTGTCAGCATCATACTTCCATCCAAAAATAAAATTTCAGGATGGTTATGCAAGCAAATTAAAGTAAGTAACATTGGGGAATTTCAGGGGAAGTTTGTCTTCATCTTAATGACTACTTTAGCAATGGACTCAGGATTTGCTATCTTTACTCATATTTTTTCTAAAATTTCTAGCTACTTTAATTGCTATTACTTTTGCCTCATTTTCTTTCTTATTTTTATTATATTTATAAATATGTTTGATACAGGGGCACCTGGCTGGCTCAGTCAGTAGAGCATGCAATTTTTGATCTTGGGGTCATGAGTTCGAGTCCCACGTTGGGTGTAGAGATTACTTATCTGCCACATACAAAAGATTACATGAAATACATAAGCTAGTTATAAGTCATAATATAATAAAAAGCTATAAACCCACCACCCAACTCAAGAACGAAAAAACCAAGAACCTACCCTATCCCTACAGTCCTAAATATTCTGTATCATTCTACTGCTTTTAGGTATAAATATTTAAAGTATATATATATATGTATATATACATATACCTGCATGTAAATACTTTATCACAAATTTATATGAAATAATATATTGTACACTTTTGCTTATTTTTGAGATCTATTGAAAACCATAATATAGTGGATGCTGGAGTATGCAATCCTGATATCCTCTCCAGGACCGAGACATTCATTTGCAGAGAATGCTAGTTGCTGAGGGCTCCCAGTTGTGACCCCCTATGGGAGCTGTTCTTGGCTGAAGGGAGTTGCTTTGCCCTCTCCCCACAGGTAGCCTGCAACCAATGCCTAGTTAATGCAGGACTACACATGCCTGGCCCACTTATCTCAATTATGGACATCTGTGAGGCCATCCTAGCTTCAGAGCTCCCTGTGGGATCAGCCCAGGCTTCTGTTACTCCTGCATCACAGCTCAACTACTCCCTCAGCTTAATCCCACTTCCCTCACTCCCTTATAGACGCTGCTCCCCAGAGGACTCCATAAATAAGTCCCCTGCAAGCAAATCTCAATCTCAGAGTCTGTTTCCTGGGAAACCTGATTGTATGGGTTGAATTGTGTCCCCCAAAAGATATGTTGAAATCCTAACTGGTCCCCACCAACATATGAATGTGGCTGTATTGGGAAATAGGGTCTTTGGAGATGTAATCAAATTAAGATGTTAGACTAGACTAGGGTGGGCCTTAAATTCAATGACTGTGTCCTTATAAAGGGAGATTTGGAGTCAGAGGAAAGGTCATAGGAGCTGGAGAATGTAGTTGTGCAACCACAAATCAAAAAATTTAAGGATTGCCAACAGCCCCCAGAAACTAGAACAGGCAAGGAAGAATTCTTCCCTAGGGCCGTCAGAGGGCCCTGCCCATACCTTGATTTTGGACTTCTAGCCAACAAAACTGTGAGAGAATAAATTTTTGTCCTTTAAAGCTGCCTAGTTGTTATCAATCTGTTATTGTAGCCCTGAGGTGAGGAAACTCATATAAACCTAAGACCTATACTTGGGTAGTCTTCTGGGACTTCCTTTTTTACTCAACATCACGTTTCCAAGAATTATTCATGTTGTTTACTGTAGCTGTATCTCTCTGTTTCTTTTTTCTTCAATATCAATGGCAATATTTCATCAGAGACATTAATGAATAATATATATATGAAAAACTTTTTCGAAAATGATTATGCCTCTGTTTTGGGGTGCAGTATTTTTGTTTATGTTCCTTTATTTATTTCCATTTTTGAGAAAAATTTTTATATAAATTTTAATATTCATGACATAACTACCTTTGTATGTGTAAGTGTGTGTTAGGCAAAATAATGATCCTCCCCACACTTAAAGAGATACACATCCTAATCACCAGAACCTGCAAATGTTACCTTATCGAACAACATATTGTGATGATATGACTAAGTTAAGGACCTCAAGATGGGAAGATTATCCAAGCGAGCCTAATCTATGTCACATGGGTCCTTAAAATTGGAGAACCTGCCCCAGATTTGGTCAGAAAAGGAGACGCAACTATGGAAGAATGGTCAGAGAGATGCAGTGATGCTTGCTAGAGGACGGAGGAAGGGATCTGTGAGCCAAGGATTGGAAGCAGCCTCTAGAGGCTGAAAAGAAGCAAGGAGACAAACCCTTCCCGAGAACCTCTGAAAGGAACACTTTAACTTTAGTCCAGTGAGTCCGATTTTGTAATTCTAACCTATAGAACTGTCAGATAACAAGTGTGTGTCGCTTTAAGCCACTAATTTGTGGGAATTTGTAATAGCAACAATACAAAACTAATACCGTGCATGTGTGAGTCCCAAGGAAGCATACCTGAATCTGGCCCCAGTTCTCTCTTGTTCACTGTACTCAAGCCATAAGGGCCGGCCCTATATAGTCTTCAAAAGCACCAAAGTTCATCCTACAGCAACCATACTTTAACTCCATAAAGGTCTGTTTGTTTCATTCATCAGCGTAGCCCTGGGAAACAGTAGGCTCTCAATACACACTCATTAAATGAACGAATGGATTATTATTGTTGGAGGAAAGGATAAAAATTAGTGGCAGGGAGCAATAACTTCCAGTGGAAAAATAAAATCACTCACAACTTAAAAACTATATAGCTTGTCTGTTGGCTCTGTTTTCCTCTTCAGTTATAACTCATGAATTTTTCCTATATAGAACCAAGAACTGAAATGGCGTGATAATGGAAAGAGTCACATTGTATTGTCTCACCTGCCCCAAACCAGTTTGTTTGCTGTCTCAGGTGAGAAAAACAAGCAGTTAAAAACAGCGAACAAGGGGTGCCTGGGTGGCTCAATTGTTAAGCATCTGCCTTCAGCTCGGGTCATGATCCCAGGGTCCTGGGATCGAGCCCCGCATTGGGCTCCCTGCTCTGCGGAGGGGCGGGGGGCCTGATTCTCCCTCTCCCACTCCCCCTGCTTGTGTTCCCTCTCTCGCTGTGTCTCTCTTTGTCAAATAAATAAATAAATAAATAAATAAATAAATAAATAAATAAATAAATAGTCTTTAAAAAAAAGTGAACAATTAGTTGGTTACCCTTTGACATCCCAGTTGGGCCATCTGGCAAGTCTTCAACTTTGTTGCCACCTTGCAGGCATGAGATAGGAAAACTATCTCATGTTTCCCAGTTTCTAGGATGTTAAAAAATTAGAATACTGGTTATGCTTCTGTGAAATAAATATCATTAGTGAACTATGTTCCCTTTCCCTATTTAGGGGATCTAAATAGATTTTCCTATTTCTAGCTCCCTTCTATTTTTCTTTACTTTGCATTAGGAGAATTTTAATAAGCCTCCTCAAATCTTTGAAACAAGGTAAAGAAAATGGAGAAATGAATAGCCCACCTTTCTTAGCATCCCAGTGTTGAGGGACCTGATGGCTATAAGGCTAAAGCACTCAGGGAGGAAGCAACAGTAGGAGGACTACAGTGTAAGGGCAGTAGGGAGGGAAAGGAGGTGAGACCTCAGGCGGCTGCTGGCAACATACAACCGCAAAACCTCCTTGGTGTACAATGAACTACATTTACTTCTCTCTCCCACGTCTGTGGGTAGACTAGGGCTTGGCTGACACAGGCTGGCATCAGCTGGGCTTTGCTCTCAGTCTTGGGCTGGGCTTATGTCTGCTCTATTTCTCAATCATCTGGGATCACCTAGGTCAGAAAATAACTCTAGAGAACTCATTATCATATATATTGCAAAATATTTCATCAACAGAATCTTCTTTCCCAGTAGTAGAAGGAAAAAAACAAGCCCTCAGTTGTGTGACCTTGGATAATTCTGGTATTTAGTTAGCTCATATGTAAAATGGGAATAGCGAATAATGCCCACCCCTTTGGAGAAGATAGAGATGACAGCCAAGAATCCCCTAGGTACCTACTGGATTTACTCTCCCACTAGTGAGTGGTAAATGGACTATTTGCTTTACCTCATCCTCGTCAATAGTAGTTCTCATTAAACTTTTTTCTCTGTCAATTCTACAGGTGAAAAAAAGTATCTCCTTTCCAAATGTGTTTTCCAGCACCACCAAGAAATTAAATTAACTCCATTTGGATGCTACCTGGCCCCACAAGACTGTCCCCACTTCAGATACCAGTTACAAGTCCAGGTTGTTTCCTGTGCTCCTGACCAACTGGCTATAACTGGAGGTTCCCAAGACTTCCTCCTTGGGTTCTATTAATTTGTAGAGTGGCTCACAGAACTTGGGAAAACAGTTTATGTTACTAGGTTACCAGTTTATTAGAAAAGGATACAATTCAGGAACAGCCAGATGGAAAAGATGTGTAGGAGAAGATAAGATACATGGGAAGGGACATGGCAGTCCAGTGCCCTCCACAGACATGCCACACTCCCAGCACATCCACATGTTCGGCAACCTGGAAAATCCCTGAACCCCATACTATTGGGTTTTTATGGAGGGTTCATTACATAGGCATGATTGATTAAATCATTGGCCATTGGCAATTGATTTAACCTCCAGCCCCTCTCATCTTTCTGGAGGTAGGGTGAGGGATGGGACTGAAAGTTCCAACCCTCCAGTGCTGGTTAGCTCCCCTGAGAACTGGCCCCCATCCTTAGGAGTTTTCCAAAACTCATCTAATTAACATAAATTTAGATGTGGTTGAACCGGGCCTGTTGTGAATAACAATGCACTCCTTCCTCCTTTATGGCTATGGAGCTATTTCAGGAACTGATTACATAAGGCTAAATATTATAATAAAAGATACTCCCATTGCTCTTTTTCCTTAGGAAATTCCAAAGGTTTGGGGAGTTGCGAGCCAGTAAGAGTGGATGAAGACCAAATATTTGTTTCTCACTATAAATCACAATATCACACATTGTCCTAATTTGCATGTTTTTGAGACTGAAATTTTCTTCATATGCTTATTTACCGTTTATGTATTTCTTTTGCACACTGTTCATATCTTTTGCTCACTTGGTATATTTCTCTTTTTCCTAATGATCTGTAAAAGGTTATTACAAGGTTATTTGTATGAGATTATTAACCCTTTTATTTATTTTTTTAAGATTTTATTTTTACTTATTTTGAGAGAGAGAGTGCTCGCTTGAGCAGGGGGAGGGGCAAAAGGAGAGGGAGAGAGAGAACCCCAAGCACACTCCACACTGAGTGTGGAGCCTGATGTGGGGCTTGATTCCATGACCCTGAGATCCCAAACTGAGCCAAAATCAAGAGTGGGACATTTAACCAACTGAGCCACCCACGTGCCCCTGTTAACCCTTTTAGAAATGCATGTACCTTTTTGTTATGGATAATTTCAAACATATGAAAAGGTAGCCAGGATAATACAATGAACTTCCATGTATAATGAACTTTCATAACTATCAACTCATGCCCAATCTTGTTTACACAACTATCCACTTCTCCTTTCCTATGTTATTTAAGTAATAGCTATGCCCAATGTGGGGCTCACACTCACGGCCCCAAGATCAAGAGTTGCATGCTCCACTGACTGAGCCAGCCAGGTGCCCCCTCTCCTGAACTATTTTGAAGCAGATCACAGAAAACATAATCATTTTTTTCTGTAATTATTTCTGCATGTACCTCTAAAATTATAAGGGACTGTTTTTCGAAAACAAAGCATAACACCATTATCCTACCTAAAAGAATTAACAGGATTCTTACCATCAGATATTCCCAACTTTCTGCCTTATTAATGTCTTTTTTTTTAATGGTCTCTTTGCAATTGTTGATATGGCTAATGTGCTTTTGTTTGAAAGTCATATAGCCCTGTAATCACACACACCGCATACTTGTTTTTCTCTTTCAAAGTTTCCAGCATGCTTTCCATCTGTGAAAAGTAGTAAAGGAAACCTCATTGAAAATGGAGCTGGGAAGCCCTCAAGGGGGGGGGCTCACATGCATACCACTGGTTGCAGCCTACACAGCGAGCAAGAAGGAAGGTCTCTTTCTGCCCCAGCAACAACACACCACCACTTGCAGCCAGTGAGAAACCGCCACAGCCTCAAACACGTGTCCTCCAACGAACTTTCGTGCAAAACAAACCTCCCCCGAAACCTAATAAAGGCTTACCTTCCCTTTGTCTCTTTGGGCTTGCCTATGGTTTTTCCAGTCTACTTGTCCTGAATTGCAATTCCCTTGCTATTCCCAAATAAATTCATTTTGCTAATAAAATAACAAGCCATTTCATTGTTAAAATTGACACACGTGGAAGATTCATCAAGTTGAGAACGTTAAGATGGACAGGAAAAGCTAGCAAGAAAGTGAGATGAATGAAAAAAAACATGTGTTTAAGTAAGCTGCAAAAAATGGGTAGTTAGGTTAGCAACACAAAGAACTACTGAAAGTGGGTTGCTAAAAACAGATGTAAAATCAGTAACTAGACTCACCACAAATAATCACCAGAAACAGGTACAAATGATCTATTTAGGAAACAGCGTTCCACTTTCTGAATACCAAAGGCAAAAAGAGAGAGAGAAAGAAACAATATGTGAATACTGTAAAGGTGAAATAGCTTCCTTCTTAGAGCACAAGGCTTGTGGTCTTGATTTATAGTCTGATGCCATGTAAACAGCTTCTCGTGGCGCTGGCATACTTGTCTTAGATGAAGTTCAGAGTGAAACAAAATGCATGCGTATAAATGACAATAGCTCTCTGACACTGGGAATAAAACATTGACACTCTGGTTTTAATTAGGGAGAAATGACCTTTATGCAAGACACAAGCAGTTCCAAGTTCTCTGTTTTCTATTCCCAATCCATACTTTGTCTTAGATATTTCTTCGTAAGAATTGCCTTATTTATATTACATTTTTATTAGATACGTATATATGTGTGTGTTTAGTGAAGATATATGAATGAACACTCTTTCTGTAAGTTCCTTAATATGGGTCTCTTTTTGGCCTGGATTTGTAGAGAGACCAAAGGGCCAACTTGTAATATTTTCACAAGTTCCTCATAAATAAGCTACTCATTCATCATCTGATGAATGAGATATTTTAACCATTTAAATAGGAATGGTCAAAAAACACTTGCTTTCCAAAACCAAGAATACTTCTTATTTACACATAAATTTTAATGAACTGGGCTTAACATAAAAGAAGACGCTGTCTATAGAAATCCAATTAATTGCAAACTTATAGATAAAACAAAAAAAAAACCCCACCCAATTTGTGGACAAGATTATAATTTTTGATTACAGGTTTCCAAGTGTATAGAAAACATGATTTAAATTGCTCAGGGAGAGATGCCTGGGTGGCTCAGTCAGTTAAGCATCTGCCTTGGGCTCAGGTCATGATCCCAGGCTCCTGGGATCCTGTCCCGCATCAGGCTCCTTGCTCAGCAGAGAGCCTGCTTCTCCCTCTGCCTGTCGCTCCCCTTGCTTGTGCTCACTCTCTTTCTCTCTCTGACAAATAAATAAATTAAATCTTTAAAAAAAAAAGATAAAAATAAATTGTTTAGGGAATGGGATGCCTGGGTGGCTCAGCCAGTTAAGCATCCAACTCTTGATTTGGCTCGGGTCAAGATCTCAGGGTTGTGAGATTGAGCCCTGCCTCAAGCTCCACACTGGGTGTGGAGCCTGCTTAAGATTCTCTCTCTCCCTCTCCCTCCTGCCTTCTCCCCTTCTCTCTCTCCCTCTCAAAAAAAAAAAAAAAAGTTTGAATACTGCCATAAAACTTTTTCTAATTTACTTTCAAAAAGCTAATGGATACTGAAAAATATATCCAATTTTATTACTTTTTAAAGATTTTTATTTAAGTAATCTCTACACCCAGTGTGGGGCTTGAACTTACAATGCCAAGATCAAGAGTTGCATGCTCTACAGACTGAGCCAGTCAGGTGTCCCAAAATATACCCAATTTTAGATATTTCCTTAATGTTCTAGGGTCTATCAAAATTGGAGATAAGAACTGGAGATCTCAGAGTTAATTCATTCTTTCTTTCAATCATGAAATGAAAATTTCAGGACACTGAGAGAGACTAATCAAAGAATTTCACAGGCCCTTTATTCCCTATTGAATGTATATTCAAACACCATTTAGTTTACCTGTTTTACCTCCCCTGGCTCAAGGTGGGAATATTTAATAGTCCAAGTGTTCCTGAACAGGATCCTGCTCTGGGACTGCCAGCCAGTACATGGGACATTTTACCTGCAGGCTTTAGATGGGATCAGATATTCTGATCCTTAACATACCCCAGGAAATGTACTGTGGGTCCATGTCTAATTAATCTCATTTTAACTCCCTTCTGATTTTAGATACAGATAGATAAGTGTCCTCTTAAGCTAATTTAGGGAGATTTTTTTATAAAGTCAAAGCTAAGGATATCACCTTGAGGATTTGTAAATATTAGTCAATATCCTTCAGGATGCATATAATCCCTGTTTTATTGTAAAAAGAAGTAATGAATTTGGCCTATCTTGTTGCTAAAGAACATTGTCTAAACGTTTAATCTCTTCTTTTTTCCACAGGCATTTATTTTATTTTTATGCCTTATAACATTTATGTATCAAATATGACATAATAAACACATATATAAATTTCCCACTTCCTTTCACATTCATTTTTTCTTTACATTTTACATATATATTACATAAGAAAAAGATATGAATCTAAAAACAACCCCTCCTGTTACTTTTTTAGAATCCCAGCATAAATCCTGATGTCAATCTAATAAATTTTCAATGGGAAAAAATATGAAATGCTAACAATACACTCAAATGTTTAATCTCTTCCATTTCCCATTAGAAGAAAAAAATATATATGGAGGTAGCAGATTTTCAGATCCTATTTGCATAATATCACAAAATCCCACTTGCCCCTCATTTATCAATGACATAGTGAAAAATGTTTTACTCTGTTAACTGCCAGTTTTAAAATAAAAACAAAAGTAAAAAGCCAGAGCACATACTGTATTGTAATCTGCCTTTTTATTTAAAGTAGCACACATTTCTCCAACTCCTATTTTCTATGTAATTTTTCATGGCTTGACAAATTCCCTGCATGAACATATCATAGACTAAATATCTAAATATCTAAACAATATTCTATTGCTGGGCATTTAGGTTGTTTCAAGTTAGCTATTATAAATAATGTTGAACACTCTAGTATATTTTTTTAAGACTTTATTTATTTATTTTTATTTATTTATTTATTTATTTATTTATTTATTTATTTATTATTTATTTATTTGACAGAGAGAGACACAGCCAGAGAGGGAACACAAGCAGGGGGAGTGGGAGAGGGAGAAGCAGGCTTCCTGCTGAGCAGGGAGCCCAATGCTGGGCTTGATCCCAGGACCCTAGGATTATGACCTGAGCCGAAGGCAGATGCTTAACAACTGAGCCACCCAGGCACCCCCACTCTAGTATGTTTTAAACACATCTCAGATTATTTCTTTATATTAAATTCTTAGAATTGCAATTACTGGGGTGTCGGGCAGGCTCAGTTGGTAGAGCACATCACTCTTGATCTCAGGGTCATAAATTCGCCCCACATGGGGAGTAGAGATTGCTTAAAAAAAAAAAAAAAACTTAAAAAAAGTAATGCAATTACTGAGTTTAAAGGCATGAGTACTTTGTTTTTTTCTCAGTCTACCTTACCGAGAGATAAATACAATTCATAAATTTAAAGTGTTTGATGACTTTTGATAAATGTGTAGAGTTGCATAATTACCAGGATCAAGATACACATTTCCTCATGCTTTATAGTCCATCCCCTCCCTGATCCTTCATCCATCATAACCAATGGTTTTGTTTACTATCACTCTAGTTTTGCCTTTTCTAGAAATGCATATAAATGGAATCATATAGTATAAAATATTTTGTGTCTGACTTCTCCATTAGCATAATGTCTTTGAGATTAATCCATGGTGCAAGTATTGGTAGTCTATCCCTTCTCATTCCTGAGTATTCCATTTGGTTATCCATTCTTCAGTTGATGAACATTTGACTTTCCAATTTTTGACTACATGAATAAAACAACTATGAATGTTCACATACAAGTCTTTATGTGGACATATGCTTTTATTTTTCTTGAGTAAATAATACTGAGAAGTTGAATTACAGATTACATGGTAAATGTTTAATTTTATAATAAATTGAAAAGCTGTTTTCCAAAGTGGCTGTATCATTTTGCACCATGTCTTCACCACCACTTGGTAGTGTCGGTCTTTTTCATTTAGTAGATATATACTGGTAACTCAATGTGGCTTTAATTAGTGTTTCCCTGAAGAATAAAGATAATGAGCATCTTTTTATGTGCTTATTGCACAGTCATTTCTTTTTTGTAAAGTGTCTGCTAAAGTCTTGTTGGGGATTTGGGGACTGATCAAGATAAGAACACAAGAAGCAATAACACACAGGCTTTATTGGGCAGTACCTAGAGTTTCAGGAGTTTTCAGGGTTGCATGAAGTCCCTCATCATGAGACTGTTTGTAGGCTGACAGTGAGGGGGTCACCATCCAAAAAGGGAGGAGGGCAAGGGAATTCCCAGAGGAGAGGGCGATCAGACAGGAGGCTTACACATCTAGGTGATGTGTTCCAGCAGCATGGTAGAGCGTCTGAGTCAGAGCTTCGAAAGGCCCCACCAAAGGCTTGGGGACCTTTATGGCCCAGAGCTTATCTTTTTTTTTTTTAAGATTTTTATTTATTTACTTGAGAGAGAGCGCATGAGTGAGAGAGCACAAGCAGGGGTGCAGCAGAGGGAGAGGGACAAGCAGACTCCCCACTGAGCAAGGAGACCAACACGGGGCTCGATCCCAGGACCCTGAGATCATGACCTGAACCGAAGGCAGCCGCCCAACCAACTGGGCCACCCAGGTGCCCCCAGGGCTTATCTTATTGATTGCCAGCAGATGTGGAGTTTGGTTTCCTAGAGTATGCAAAGCAGGCAGGTTCTAAAAATCCCCTTGTTTGGGCTATTTTGTAAATAATGGAATGTATACAAATTTGAGTTTGGCACTGGTGGGCTTTTATAACTAAAAGCTCTCAGACTGTAGTAAAGAAATAAACTTGGAGGGATGCCTCTGCCTGCAGCTCCCCCTGCTTGTGCTCTTCCTCTCTCTCTCTGACAAATAAATAAATAAAATATTAAAATAAATAAATAAATAAACTTGGAGCCAATACACAGAGACCATCTTTGGCTCATTTATTTAACCAAGTTTTGTTCATTCTTTTAATTAGGTTGTCTGTCTTATTACTGAGTTCTAAGGGTTCTTTATATATCCTGAAGAGGAATCCTTTATCAGATGTGTTACAAATATTTTTTCCCAGTCTATGGCTTGTATTTTTATTTCTTAACAGTGTATTTTGACGAAGAAGATTTTTATTTTAATGAAACCCAATTTATTAACTTTTTAAAAAAGATTTTAAGTAATCTCTACACCCAACGTGGGGCTCAAACTCAACCCTGAGATTAAGAGTTGTATGTTCTATCCACTGAGCCAACCA